GGCTGCGCGGGCAGGCAGCCTCTCTTTTGGACGGCCGCCGGTTCATATCTCTCGGGAGCGGGGGGAAGCTCGGGCGCCCGCGCCCCCCTGGGCATGGCCGGCGATCACCTGCCGCGCAGCGGGCGTGCTGACGGACGGGGGCGCCGACGAGCTCGGACGACCAGCGAGGGGGGCTTGCCTGCAGCCGGCAGGACAGGGGCGCCCGCCCCCCCGCAGCGAGGGGGGGCTCGAGCCGCCTTGGGGCCACATGCGGGCGAAAACGTTTCTACGCGGGGGCGCAGGGGGGGGCGCGCCATCCCCCGGCAGGGCGCACAGCCAGTCGCTCCACGGCCACCACTGCACTGCCTCGGCCCGCGGCGGCACATCCGCTGGGCACGGGGCGAGGGCGCGCTCGAGCAGGCGGCGGCGGCCGCCGAGGGCCATTGCGCGACGGAGGCGCCACTGGGGAAGATCGTGGACAGGTAGGTAGATATGAAGTCCGCAAGTGGGCCCGCAGCCACTGCCGCCGCCGCCCACGCCGCCCCGCGGCGGGCGCTGTCGGCAGAGGAGCTTGCTCGCGGGAAACGCCCGAGCAGGCGGCGGCGACCGAGGGCCCCTGCCCCTGCGCGACGGCGGCGCCGCTGGGGGATCTCGCGGATTGGGCGGCGCGCGAGGGGCATGGACAGGAGCGGCCGGCGAGGCGAGGGGCAACAGCCGCCGATGGGAGCTCGCGGAACACTCGGTTGCCGAGGAACCGGCGAGGAGGCGGCCGATGGTGCCCCATGGCTTCCCTGCGCGGGCACGCGGGAGGACGCCGCGGCGGGTCTCAGGGCAGCGGCCAGCCGAGGAGCGGGCGCGACCCCGCCACCGGCGCCGTCTTGTTGGGGGCGCCGCGTGGTTGCAGAAAAGAGCCGCCGCGATCCGGGGGCGCAGGGGCAGGCTCGGGCGGGGCCCTGCCCGATCGCGCAGACGAGGGGCGCGCCCCAGCCGGGGGCGGCGAGGTCCTGCGCGGGCGCGGCGCGGGCGAAGGGCGGGGCCGCGAGCCGCGCGCGCAACGGCGCGATGGGGCCACGCGCGCGAGGCTTGGAGACGACGCGCGGCTCGGGCGCGCGCGGAGTCCACGTCGCCAGGGCACTTCAACGTCCGCGCAAAGGACTGGACCGCCGAGACGGGCGCGGGCGACGGCGCCCGACCGAGCCCCCCACGTCGCGCATGGGATGGGCAGAGTGCGGGGCCGACGCGGACCACGACAGAAAATGCCTTTCGAACCGCGACCCTGCAGTCGCCACGAACGCGGGCGGGAAGACGCCAGAGGCGGGCGCGGGCCCGACGACGCGGCAGCACGGCCCCACACCCCGCGCGCTCTTCGGGGGCCATGGCGCGGTCGGCCACGGAGATGGATCCCCCCCACCAGGGGCGGGCGGGCGCAGGCGCGAGCATCGGCGAGGCCCCAATGCGACCTCTCGAGACGGGGGGCCCCGCCGCACGCTGGCGCGCCGCCCCCGCGCTGCGGCGCTCGGCGGCTCGTGGAGGCCAGCGGAATTGTCCTTTTCGAGCCCAGGCGATGGCAGCCGCGATCGCCCCCCCACCCCCCGATCACGTCGCGTTATTGTCGGGTCGGGCGAAAGGGGGGGATTGGGAAAGGGGGGGGTACGAAATTTGCTACATGCAGCTGGTTTCGGCCGCGCCGAGGGGCCAATTCCTCGATACATGGCCGCTCCCGGCGCCGGGAGGCGCCGGGAAAATCAGCTACGTGAGCTGATTCTCAAACCCCCCCTTTGCTATCCCCCCCTTTCGCCCGGCCCGATATTGCGCCGGCATGCGCAAAGATGCCCCACGGATCCTCAGTGGACACGACATCCCAGGATTTCGGGCGGCCCCCGCCGCGACGCAATGGGGGGGGGGACCCCATAGAGGCGGGGCATGTATTCCAGACCGCGCCTCGCGGCAGGCGGGCGCGCGCGAGCGGCGGACAACGGGGGCGGCATCGCAAAGAGGAGGGGGGCGGGGCGAGGGGGGAAGGCGGTCGGGCCCCCCGTCGACGCGAGCAGCGCCCGGGGCTGGGGGGCCCGGCATCCCCGTCTCACCTCTGGGTCCCCTTCCCCCACAACTCATTCCCATCAAGGAGGGGACGTCAAGTCCCTGGGAGTGGTAGGCGCCCTGTGCACAGGGCCCCCGGCACCGCCACCCATCGAAGGGGAACTGCGGTCACCTCACTCTTCCCCTTCCCACCGCGATGGCACCGCTATATGGGCGCATCGAGGATACGCCCCCGTGTGCCAGCACGAATGTATATTCTTCTACGCCCGACGTCTGTGACCATGGTTTCAGGCGTTCGGCCTTTTCTGATTATCCCACTCACAACCACCCTGGGGCATCTTGGGGCATCAAGTTCTTGGGAGTGGCAGGAGCCCTGCGTAAAGCGCCCCAGGCGCCACCAACCATCTGAAGGGAATCGCCGTCTCCGCATTCGTTCACTTTTTTACGGCGCTATCCGGGCCAACCGATGATATTCGAACGTATTCAAGAAATTCAGACATATCCGAACCAGACGATGTTGGATTGGGGCTGAGACTCGGGACCGGCCCTTGGGTGGAAAACGCGCCACCCAGTCGACCGGCCCCCTTTCGAGAAACGACTGTGCACTTTAGGGTGCGCCGCGTATATTTTGCGGTCAATGGCCAGGGGTGGGACCCGAACCTGGCGCACTTAATGCGATCGCAACCACGCGCTACGGGTGCCGACAAGAGGTCGAGCCCGATCCAAGAGAAAAATCACCCGACCCCACTGGGGCCAGCACCAAAGGTCACTGCTGCGACAGGGCGCTCTCACGCGCTGTCGAAGGGAAGCCGCCGGACAAGGTGAGATAGTGATACCGCACGGCCTTCCGACATGACATACCCTTTTGAACGAAACGATCAAGGATGACTCACGCTGGCATGTGACAGCGCGTCATGAAGCAAATCAGAAACAGCGTTTCCACAGCACGCGCACCTCACAGCACCGCCCGCCGAGAGCGTCAGCCTCTACACCTGGGAGGCCCCGGCCCGCCCTGGCGGGGCCCGCCGGGCCCCGCCGCCCGGGGGCCCGTCCGTTGGTTGGGCGGCCCTGCTCCCGTCCACCGCCGCCCCGCTCCTCCAAGCAGAGGGCCCGCCTGTTGGCCCGGCGGCACCGCTCCCGTCCGCCGCCGCCGCCCCGCTGCATCCCCCCCCCTGTTGCACCGCCCCTCTCGCTCGCATCGCAGGCTTTGCACTGCAGTGTTTCGCACTGCTCTGCAGCGCTCTGCGTCGCGTTACACTGCTTCGCGTTGCTGCGCATTGTTTTGCACCACGTGGACTGCACCACATGGATTCTCCTTTCCAAAAACAGAATAGGATCTATCCCCCCCGGCGTTATCGGTCCCCCTTTCGGGTATGTAAATCACATATAATCATGACCACATGTCCATCCTGAATATGAAATCACAATGTCCCAGGCCAGCCGCTATCCCCCCCACCACCTGAGGTTGTTTGTAAAAAAAACACAATGCGGTGACATTTTTTGTTCTAACATAACACTTTTTCGCGAATCCCTTGCAAAACATGGGACGAAATGCGCACGCGCGCGTCGTCGCGCGCGCATGCCGAAATCATTCAAAAACCTTCGGTGCCGGAAGGATTTCGCAATCGAGTTTCCAAAAAACATACAAAAACACATGGTTTCGCAACAGTGATTTGCTAAAAAAGCTTCCGCGCGAGCTGTTGCGAAATCTTCAGAAAACCATAGGTTTTTCAAGATTTTCACAACATGATATTAAACGGGCTTCGCGCGCGCGCATGTCGAAATCTGTCGAACGCCCTTGCGCGTGTGCCGTCGCGAGAATCCTGCACACAAAAAATGGGAGGAAGTGCAGACGCGCGCGTCGTCGCGCGCGTATGCCGAAATCCTTCAAAACCCATCGGTTTCGGAAGGATTTCAGAATCGTGTCTCCAAAAAACCTACAAAAACCGAAGGTTTCGCAACACGGATTTTCAACAAAAGCGTGCGCGCGCGCTCTTGCGGCGTCGTCGTCGTCGTCGTCGTCGCCGTCCTCCCTCCTCCCGCGTCGTCGTCGTCGCCTACGTCGTCCTCTGTCTTGTGTTCGTCGTCGTCGTCCTCTTTGGCGTCGTGGTCGTTTCCGTCGTCGTTGTCGCCGTGGTCGTCCTTTTTCCTCCTCCCTCGTTGTTGTCGTCGTCCGTCGTCGGCGTCTCGTCGTCGTCCCTCCTATTTCGTCGCCGTCGTCGTCGTCGTTGTCGTCGTCGTCTTCCCTCCTCCCTCGTCGTTGTCGTCGTCGGCGTCGCCGTCCTTCCTCCTTCGTCGTTCGCGTCGTCGCCGTCCTCCCTCCTCCCTCGTCGTTGTCGCCGTCGTCGTCCTTGTCGCCGTCGTCGTCCTCCCTCCTCCCTCGTCGTCGTCTTCGTTGGCGATGTCGTCGTCGTCTTCGTCGTCGCCGTCGGCGTCGGCGTCGTCGTCGTCCTCGTCGTCGTCGACGTCGTCGTCGTCGTCGGCGTCGTTGACGTCGTCGTCGTCGTCGTCGCCGGTGTCGTCGTTGTCGTCGTCGTCGGCGTCGTCATCGTCGTCGTTGTCATCGTTGTCGTCGTCGGCGTCGGCGTCGTCGTCGTCGTCGGTGTCGTCGTCGTCGTCGTCGTCGTTGTCGGCGACGTCGAAGTCGATGGAGACGTCGTCGGTGTCGTCGTAGTCGTTGTCGGCGGCGTCGTCGTCGTCGGTCTCGCTGTCGTCGTCGGCGTCGCTGTCGTTGCCCAGTGCCATTTGGTTTCCACCGTCACGGTCTTAAGAGATTTTGCAAACCAAGTTGCGGGTGGGTGGGTGGGATGTTTGCGCGAGCAGTGGAGTGGACAACTCACTGCGAACAGAAATTAGTTGCACCACCTAGATTGCACCACGTTGATTGCACCACCTAGATTCCACCTCATGCGCGTGAAGCAAATCTTGTCTGGGGTCCACGCTGGCTAACACTTTGTTTGTGTTCGCCTATGTTTTCCTAGGCGGTGCTCCTCATGCAGCTCTGGACGTTTGCGGGGCGCAAGCCCATCCTCGCCACCGCGGACAGCAACATCGCTGTGGACAATCTGTGCGGCGGGTGCGTTACCGCGGGCCTCAACGTCGTGCGCGTGGGCCGCAAGGAGTCCGGAAATCCAGATTTGGAGCAGTACACGCTATTCGAGAAAGCCAGAGCATCTGGGAAGCCAGGCGGCGACCGGAACAAGTGGAAGGCGGAGAAGGAGATATTGGAAAACGCAGACGTGGTGTGCTGTACATGCAGCGGCGCTGAACACCCAGCAATGCAGGGCACGATGTACGCCAACCTCCTGCTGGACGAGGCTGGGCAGACCACGGAGCTGGGGTGCATGATCCCCATGCTGCATTTGAATGATCGCGGCTCCGTGGTGCTCGTCGGGGACCACAAGCAGTTGCCTGCGACGGTGGCGTGCCTGGAGGCAGACGTGGAGGGTCTGGGAACCTCCCTCTTCGAGCGCCTGACCTCCTTCGGTGTCGTTCCACAACTGCTAGACATCCTGACGGGCAAATTTTCCAACACCACTACCATACGTAGGACGGGGGAGAAGGGAGGATGAAGAGGTCCTCCTCCTCCTCCTCCTCCTCCTCCTCCTCCTCCATCCTCTCCTCCTCCTCCACCCTCTCCCACCCCTGGTAGCGGTGGCGGAAAATGGGCCCATCACATCCAGTACCGCATGCACCCTGCCATCGCGGCCTTCCCTTCGCAGCAGTTCTACCAGGGCAGGCTGCGGTCGGGCACCCCAGGCTCGGCTCGCCGGGCGGTGACGGGCATCTCCTGGCCAGTGATGGCGTGCCCCGTGGCGTTCCTGCCGGTCACTGGCCACGAGCGTAAGGATGGGGGGGGGGCCGTCTCTCCTCCTCCTCCTCCTCCTCCTCCTCCTCTTCCTCCTCCTCCTCCTCCTCCTCCTCCTCCTCCTCCTCCTCCTCCTCGTCCTCCTCCTCCTCCTCCTCCTCCACCTCCTCCTCCTCCTTCTATGGGGAAGTTCAGCCCAAAATGTGTTTAGGGAGCGAGCCCAGCTTGAGGCTGATCAGGTTTTCCCCCAGGGGCCGACCATGGCGAGTTTCCTCCAGCATATCTTCTCCCCACTGGCCCTACTCACCGTCACGCCCCTCACCCCGAAAGGAGGGGAGCTCCTGGACCAACATGGGAGAGGTTCAGGCAATCACGGAGCTTCTCAATGGCGTTCTAGCTGCGGGGGACGTGTCGCCGGGTAACATCGGCATCATCACGCCCTACGCTGCCCAGGCTCGGCTCCTGCGCAACCACCTGGGAATCCAGAATAAGTCCGTGCAGAAGCAGCCGGAGGTGTCCAGCGTCGACGGCTTCCAGGGCCGCGAGAAGGACCTCATCTTCGTCTCCACTGTGCGTGCCAACCGCGACGGCCGAGTGGGGTTCTCTTTGTCGGGCGACAGGGGGGGTGCGAAAGGGGAGCCACAAAATTGGACGCATGCAGCATGCGTCATTGCCGCCTGCATGCGTTTCTTTTGATACTCCTCCTCCCTCCCCCTCCCTCCTCCTCCGCCTCCTCCTCCTCCTCCCTCATCCTCCTCCTCCTCCTCCTCCTCCTCCTCCTCCTCCCTCCCCTCCTCCTCCTCCTCCTCCTCCTCCTTCTCTTCCTTCTCCTCCTCCTCCTCCTCGCCCTCCTCCCCCTCCTCCTCCTCCTCCCCCTCCTCCTCCTCGCCCTCCTCCTCTTCATCCCCCTCCACGGGCGCCAGGGACACGTCGGCGATGGGCCCCCGATAGCGAGCCCGCACGTTCATGGGCGGGGTGGGCTACCAGGCCACGAATGTCAGCTTGTGATTAACAAATGTCAGGAGGGGGAAAACACACAGACACAGTTATTTGTCGATTTCCAGGAAAATATGGGAAAATATGGGAAGTGGGGGGGAAGACAAAAACCCAGAAAATATGCGAAAAGATGGGGGATTATTTGATTTGTGTCTATTTATTTGTGTGTCCTGGGGCCCCTTCAAAATAGCCAGAGCCCCCCCCCCAGAGCTGATGAAAAGACCCCGCGGGGCGCGATATTTTTTAATCACGCGCGCCAGGGGGGAAGAGGAGAGAGGATGGGGGAGGGAGGAGAAGGAGGAAAAGGCGGAGGACGAGGAAGAGGAGGAGGAGGAGGAGGAGGAGGAGGAGGAGGAGGCCCGAGCAACGAAGAGAGCGGCCGCTGGAAACGGGCGCAGGCAGGGCGGGGGACGGCGGCGACGACGGCAACAGAGTGGGGGAGGAGGACTACCCGCTTTGCTCGGGTCGGGCGAAAAGCTGGGGAAGGGAAAGGGGGGGGGCGAAGCTTGCTGCGCGCAGCTGGTTTCGGTCGCCCCGCCGAAGGGCCAGTCCTCGACGCATGGCCGCTTTCGGCGCCAGGAGGTGCTTGGAAAATCGGCGACGTGAGCTGGTTGGCAAATCCCCCTTTGCTGCGCCCCACTTTCGTCCAGCCCGCCTTGCCCGCAGGCCCGCATCGGTTCGACAGGAAAACGGCTGCCCTGGCGCACCCTTGCCTCCCGACCCACCCCCCTTGCCTCTCGTTGGCGGCCGGGCGTCGGCGCTAACCACTGGCGCCGCCCCGTTGATTTTCAATCTGGCGGGCGCCACCCCGCGATTCGCCCGAGCAGGGGAACTATGTTTTTAAACACGCGCCCACCACACATTTGTTAATCACAAAATGACATCATCGGCGACCAATGGGTCTACGAGCGATTGGTTCTCGATGCGTCCCCCACCCCTGAACCTATACCCCCCTAACATTGCCCCTGGTAAGTTCCCTTTGCTACCGTAACCCCCCGTTCGTCCGACCCGAGGTTCGTGGGGGACCACCGACGCCTCAACGTGCTACTGACGCGCGCTCGGCGTGGCCTCGTCGTCTGCGGCGATTTCGACACGCTCGCGACCGACAAGCTCGGCTGGAGGCCGTGGCTGATCTGGGCGCAGGACCGCCGGTGTGCACTCCCAGGTCTCCGACGATACCATATAGTTTCGGGCAGCGGCCTTTCTTCGGTCTCGGCTTCTACAGGGCTGGTGATCTGACCCCGGGCGCAAAATTATAGCCGGAGTGCAGTATCCCCAAACAGGGTTTTTAGACCCACTGCGGTTTCCAAGGTCGATTGCGTGCCCGTCCAGTGCGGGCTGGCATGGCATGTTAAAACATGCCTCCTCCTCCTCCTCCTCCTCCTCCTCCTCCTCCTCCTCCACCTCCTCCTCCTCCTCCTCCTCTTCCCCCTCCTCCACTCCTCTTCATCCCGAACGGCATCTCGGAGCCCAGAGTTGCGAGGATGTCTCCAGCGTAACGGGCTGGACCACCTCGCGCGCGGCATTTCGGACCCCAGAGTTGCGACGATGTCTCGGGCGAAACGTGCTGCGAGGAAGTCTCAGGCGAAACGGGCCGGACCACCTCGAGCGCGGCGTCTCAGAGCTCCGAGTTGCGGGGGCCTCCTGGGGCCTCCTGGGACCTCCTGGTGACCTCCTGGGGCTTCCTCCTGGGCCTCCTGTGGCCTCCTGGACCCCACCTGGGGCTTCCTGAAGCCTCTTGGGGCTCCCAGGGGGGGATATCTAACATGTGGCCGTCGGGGCCCCCCAAAATGGGGAGGGGGCCACAAGAGCAGGAAAAATCAACGAATCGACACCAGATGAGTATTGACTGGACACGTTCTGATAGGGGGCCTCCTGGGGCCTCTGGGAGCCTCCTGGGAATCTCCTGCGGACCCCCGGGGCCTGTCTGGGCGTCCTGCGGCCATCCTGGACCTCTCTGGGGGCTCCTGGGGCTCCCAGGGTCCCAGGGGGGATATGTAACATGTGGTCTTCTGGGCCCCCAGGCTGGACCACCTCTTGCGCAGCATCTGAGAGCTCTCTTTTTCGAGAAATGTCTTGTGCAACCGACGCCAGACCCACCTTGCGCACGGCACGTCTCAGAGCTCGAGTTTGCGGGAGCGTCTCAGGCGAGATGGGCCAGACCACCTCGCGCAGGGCATCTCGGAGCCCAGAGTTGCGAGGATGTCTCCATCGTAACGGGCTGCACCACCTCGCGCGCGGCATTTCGGACCCCAGAGTTGCGACGATGTCTCCGGCGAAACGTGCTGCGAGGAAGTCTCAGGCGAAACGGGCCGGACCACCTCGAGCGCGGCGTCTCAGAGCTCCGAGTTGCGGGGGCCTCCTGGGCCTCCTGGGACCTCCTGGTGACCTCCTGGGGCTTCCTCCTGGGCCTCCTGTGGCCTCCTGGACCCCACCTGGGGCTTCCTGAAGCCTCTTGGGGCTCCCAGGGGGGGATATCCAACATGTGGCCGTCGGGGCCCCCTCAAAATGGGGGGGGGGCACAAGAGCAGGAAAAATCAACGAATCGACACCGGATGCTTATTAACTGGACACGTTCTGATAGGGGGCCTCCTGGGGCCTCCTGGGAGCCTCCTGGGAATCTCCTGGGGACCCCTGGGGCCTGTCCTGGGCGTCCTGCGGCCTCCTGGACCTCTCTGGAGCCTCCTGGGGCTCCCAGGGTCCCAGGGGGGATATGTAACATGTGGTCTTCTGGGCCCCCAGGCTGGACCACCTCTTGCGCAGCATCTGGGACCTCAGAGTTGCGAGAATGTCTTGTGCGAAACGGGCCGGACCACCTTGCGCACGGCATCTCAGAGCTCAGAGTTGCGAGGATGTCTCAGGCGAGATGGGCCAGACCACCTCGCGCAGGGCATCTCGGAGCCCAGAGTTGCGAGAATGTCTTGTGCGAAACGGGCCGGACCAACTTGCGCACGGCATCTCAGAGCTCAGAGTTGCAAGGATGTCTCAGGCGAGACGGGCCGGTGTCTCGGGCGAAACGTGCTGCGAGGAAGTCTCAGGCGAAACGGGCCGGACCACCACGAGCGCGGCGTCTCAGAGCTCCGAGTTGCGGGGGCCTCCTGTGGCCTCCTGGACCCCACCTGGGGCTTCCCTCCTGCTTGGCCACCAGTGCCTCCTGGCCCCCAACCTGGCTTCCTGAACCTCTTGGATCCCCAACCCAGGGGGATATCTAACCATTGGCCGCTTGGGCCAAACCCCCACATTGGGGGGGGGACCACAAGAGCAGGAACAATCAACGAATCACCAAACGGTATATGTATTAATTTTGATACGTTCTGATAGGGGCGCGGCTTCCTGAACTCTCTGCTCTGCCTCTGGGCCTCCTGGGCTGCCAGGGTCTCAGGAAGGGGGGAAAGTAACTGTGGACATTCTGGGCCCCCAGGCTGGACCACCTCTTGCGCGGCATCTGGGAGCTCAGAGTTGCGAGAATGTCTTGTGCGAAACGGGCCGGACCAACTTGCGCACGGCATCTCAGAGCTCAGAGTTGCAAGGATGTCTCAGGCGAGACGGGCCAATGTCTCGGGCGAAACGTGCTGCGAGGAAGTCTCAGGCGAAACGGGCCGGACCACCTCGAGCGCGGCGTCTCAGAGCTCCGAGTTGCGGGGGCCTCCTGGTGCCTCCTGGCGCCTCCTGGGGACCTCCTGGGGCTTCCTCCTGGGCCTCCTGTGGCCTCCTGAACTCCACCTGGGGTTTCCTGAAGCCTCTTGGGGCTCCCAGGGGGGATATCTAACCTGTGGCCGCTTGGGCTCCTCAAAATGAAGGGCGGGGCACAAGAGCAGGAAAAATCAATGAATCGGCACCGGATGTGTATTAACTTGACACGTTCTGATAGGGGGCCTCCTGGGGCCTCCTGGGAGCCTGCTGGGAATTTCCTGGGGACCCCTAGGGCCTGTCCTGGGCGTCCTGCGGCCTCCTGGAGCTCTCTTGGGTCTCAGGCGGGCTCCCAGGGTCCCAGGGAGGATATGTAACATGTGGTCTCCTGGGCCCCCAGGCTGGACCACCTC